CCCCAAAACCCCAAAACCCCAAAACCCCAAGCTTCAAAATATTTGGTAATAACACAGATTCATTTTGTAAATAAATAGTATTTTGTTAATTATAGAGTGTTAATGTCGAAACTTTTGGCTTTAAACTTCAACCTAGGCCTTATTCAGCGACCATACTTGCCACCCTTGTATGAGTTATATCTTTCCCCTCCTTGATAATTCCTTGATCTTGATCTTTATTAGTTTCCCTAATAATTATTATTGTAAGAGTCTCTATGATAGCTTTAATAGTTGCTGTCATAGCTATAGTTCTTCCTACTGTAATTATTACCATTGGTATTTGAGTTGTAATTTTTATTGCCTCCTTTTTTATTCTTTTTGTTCTTAGAGTAATTGTCATCTTCTTCATCCAGGTCTATATACTCATTTTCATATTCCTCGTCATAATCTTCATATTATTCAATATCTTTACTTTATTATCTGGACTTCTTTTTCTATAAGAGTTCACTGAATGAAGTTAAGACCTTTTCTGAATCATCACTACTCTGAGAATCGTAAGAATCCACTTACTATGGCTTTTTATTGAACTTACGATACTTCTTATCTTCCTAGCTCTCACTAGAGTCTTCATACTTTCTGTGCTTCTTGTTTTTATGGGATTTCGTCTTGGATTATTGATCAGAGTAGCTATCTTCACTATCTATTTCATAAGTTTATATCTGATTAGCATTATTCCTTCTAGGGTCAGTTGCTAGTCTCATATGATAATTATTACTGCTATTTCCATTACCATTTCTGTTATAGTTATTGCTATTATCATAGTTACTACCATATCTACTGCCACCGTATCCCAAATCTCTCTCTTCAATTGCTTAGTGATTCAATCTTGATCTGATCTTCTCATATTATTGATATCTACTGTTACCTTGACTATACATTCTCCTGGGGCAATCACCTTCAGAGTGTTTATCTGCACAATAGCAGCAATATACATCCTTTGGATCATGTCCTCTAGGAATGCCATAAGGTTACTCTTTAGGAGCATCTCTTCCATTCTTTTTAAGTTATTCTGGTACTACTATATTTGTGCTCTCATTCAGCCACATCTATTCTTCATTTAACTCATCAGCGTAATCGAATGAAAACCTTATAGATCTATCTCTTTCATTTTTAGTATCCTTCTAGAACTTTTGTTGCTTTTCAATAAATTCATTCAAGTTATTCTTGACTGAAGTATCAATTGCAATTTTCCAGCTTTTCCTCTCTTTAAGACACTTAATATGACCCTTCTTTCCACATTAGATACATCTCAGCAACTGCATTTGAGACTCACTATAATCCCCTTTCCAGATTTTTAGGCATCTTGCTTCTTTATGGCCAATTATGCCACATTTATTACACTTGATAATATTTTTTTCAGTGCATTAACTGGCAAGATGACCTATCTTATTACATTTAAAGCATGTTTTCTCAGTACAGGAGAAGGAATCATGAGTATCTTTCCCGCATAGAATACAATTAGGTCTCTTGGTTTTATTAGTACAATCCTTAGCAATGTGTCCATACTCAAGACAATTTCTGCATTTGATGGTGGGGTTGTTTTCAAGGAAATACCTTGCAGTTTAATTCTTCATTCTCTCAAATGCATCATCTCCAGCCTCATCCATATTTACATCATATTCTTCATTTAATTCATTGCCAAGCTCTTCATTCTGCAACTTTTATTCTGCTTTCATTTTTTCTTATTCTTTGAGTTCTTCCATTGAGCATTTGAAATACATATTGCCTTTTAGAAAGTTTCCTCCGGGTACCAAAATATCAGGGTTTCTTCTAGTATTAATTGATGTAATGTAGCTAACGCTTTGCTTTTTAGAATAACTCTCATTAGACGAAGTCACCTTCAACCCAAATTTATTGGCTTTATTTTAAATATCCTCTTCTTCATTGTTTGGCTTTTCATCTTGTTGCATATACTTGACTTCCTTTCTCTTATTTTCTGTAAACAAAAATGAGCTCATGACTCTCTGACTTTCTACTATATTGTTGCTATTTTCATTAGATGAAGGCTAATCATCTGGCATTAGAGTGTTTCTGCTGCTAAATTATGCTCTATACAACATCTAGGTTCTTTCAGCTATCGATAGCTATGTTGAAGTTTGCATTATTTGAACCTACTTAGTGGACTCTGATTATTCACCATTCTCAACTTTTTCCTCTACTTTATTATTGCTTACCTTAGTCGTCTCCCTCTCTTTCTCCCTTTTTCTGCTTTTACTGTCCTTCTCCTACTTTGTGGACTCTGTAATCACAACCTTTCTGGAATAAAACTGGGTATAAGGGTCAACATCGCTGTCATCAGACCACTTTCCCACATGAGGGCCCAATTTGCCTTGCTTGGACTAGTTATTAGCTGCTTTCGTAGAACTCATTATATAGATGTTAATTTTTTAAATTCCTATTATAATATTTATTATATTTGTATTTAGTAATAAAATATCAGAAGGGAATTTATTTGAAATGGAGGATAATACCCAACGGAAAAACAAGTTCCAATAATTTTACGCTTAGTTGCGAACCAGCTTTTTCAATATAATGTTCGAACTCCTTAAAGAGAAAAACACAGGTAACTTAAATGACTCATCTTAATGCAAATTATGCTATAGGAGTATTTATGGGATGTCTAATTATTCTTATAATGTTCTTGCAGGTAATTGGACTTATATTTGAGCCAGATGTAATAAAAATTCATACCTCTTAAATAATATAGAAATACGAATGGAAAGACGAATTTTTCCTCAGTTTCGTAGTCCATGTCTGTAGCTATTGTAGAATAATAAAAGCCATCAGCTCATCAGGTTCAATATTCTTTTATTGGGCACTTATGATTTTTGCGATTCTCTACCTCACCACTATAGTCGCTTTATTAGTTTATATGAATTACTTCCTAAAGAACAGGAAGCACTATGTTGAATAGGTAGTCAATATGCTGAGAGTGATGATATTACTCCTGTTTTGGGTATTTCATTAGCCTTTTTTCGAAATTTTTATTTCAATAATGAAATGTGAAAATGGATATCACTACTTAGACACTTCACTTGAATGCTTTTAAGGAATTCACATATTTTATTTCGTGCTGTGTATTATCTTCTTAGTGGTTTTGCTATTAGTGAACATGATCACAGCTATGCTTTACAATGAAACTTAACCAGTTTAAGAAGATTGCTTGAGTAGATTGGAAAGTAGCTTGGAACTAGCATTAGTTGTTTTTAGATCCATAATTGCTACATTTTCGAATTTCTGTGATGGGGATGTATGCAGCTGGATACTTATCTCACTATACATAATCCTTAGTGCAATGATGTGCTATAACTATTACAAAACCATACCTTATTACAATACATTCTTAAGCATATTCTTTGGAAGTCTAGTATTCATTTGGTTTTGGGTTTCAATTAATGCCTTGCTCATGAAACTACTAAGTGTTGATGGCCACATTATAATAATATTTATTGGAATTCCGTTTATCGCATTACTGGTAAAAAATCTTAGAGAAAAAAGAATTGAAAACCTTCTCAAAACAAATATAGATAAATTGAAACTAGATATTGATTCGTTAATTTAAGTTCACAAAATCACAGACTTCTCAAAGGGTATTAATACAGATCAGGCTCAAAGAATGACTATGATTGGGATTGTGAACATACACATTATGGAATGTTAAAATAATGATTGTCCTTGCAAAGAAGATTATGAGCTTTATGATGTAGCTACCAATATGTTCTAAGATAGAAATAAAAATTCCCCACACATGGACGAAGTATTTTTGAATCACTTTATTAAGAGATTATATGAAGATGCCCTTAACAAATTTATTAATAGTCCAAGTATCCATATAGCTTTTGCTTTTTATCTATTCAAGAATATGAAAAATATTCATGCTTCATTGGTAGAACTTAATATAGCAATAAAGAAGAAGCCTTCACTTCAGTAGCAATTCACCATATTTAGGTATAAAAATATCATTGAAGAATTTATTATGTAAGATCATTAGGAGCATAAATATGTCTTTCCAGAACTTACAAATGTGATAGAGTTCGAGAGGTTGTTTTCAGAGATGTAAAAATCTATTGAGAAAGTTTGTAATCTCTAAGTTGAATTCTGGACTCATCTTACCACCGTAGTTCCTGATTAAAATATACTTAACGAATTGGGCAAAAAGATATACTGTGCAGCTGAGGAAGCTGAGTCATTTTGGAATATGATGTGCAAAATCAATCCAAATTACTAGCAGGCCCTGAATATATTTGGAGAGTATTTGAGAGAAATCAGGAATCATGAGCATCTTGGCAATACCTATATAGAAAAAGGATTCAATTCAATGAATGCGAAAAAGTCAATAGATGAGCATGCCAAGACCTCAGATATACTATTTAGTTCTGATACTACTGTTATTCATATAAGTGGAAACAAAGAATCCATAGGTAAAATACTCAAAACTAGTCAAGGGTTGTCTACTGTATTCGGCTATAGCAAAACTGAGGTAATAGGTCATTCTATTAACATCCTTATGCCTACATTGTTTGCTAAAAAGCATACTGATTGCATGGAGAGATTCTTCAAGACTGGAAGGCAGGTTATTTTCTATTAGGAAAGATCTCTATTTGCCACTCATAGGAATGGGCATTGCTTTTAAATGAAGTTGCTGGTGAAGTAAATGCCTAGTTTAGAAGAAGGAATATAATATGTAGGAATGCTCTGACCTATGGCATCAGATTATGAATACATGCTTACTGATATGGAGGGTAATATAGATTCATTTAGCAAGGGAGTAACAGGAATGCTTGGATTGACTCCGAATCTTTTTAAAGATAAAGACTCTCAAATCAATATCTAAATTCTTGCGCCTGAGTTGATTCCTTTCTTCATGGAGACCTATCAAAAGGGCAGAGCAGCCAAGTCTAAATTTAGAGAGTCAGGAGGAGATACTCTCACTCTTATTGTGCCAAGAGATTTTCATATTATTGCCAAATCAGAAAACAAAACAAACGCGAGAGCAGGCTCCAGAAATAGAAACGGAGGAGGAAACAGAAACATGAATTCTAATAATAGGAATAGATCTCAGGTATTCAAGCAGTTTTTGAAAGCTCTTGCAAAGCCAGGCAGAATTCAAAGAGATAGAATGCCAACTGCTAAGATGATTCTTCAGTAGTAAGAGTATGTATAGTGCGAGAGAAAGAAAGAGGTGTAATGTGAGATCACCAGTCTTGATATTAAGTCTTCTCAATCTGATTCAGTCAAATTACTTGTGTTTAAATTCAACAAGAATGAAAAAATTGATAAAAAGAAGGAAGATGTTAATAATATTCGATTTGATTACACAATTGGAAATGAAGAGAATATCGATGTAAGCTATGACCAATTTAAGGCTGTGTCAGTGGTAGATGAAAGTCCACGACCACCTTTAAAATACAGACCAAGAGTAGAATCTAATTAGACTGAGTTAGAGGGAACTGACTCGCAAGTTCAAACTTCGATGAATGACAAGTTCTAGTTCAATGTGAAAAAAGTGAATTTCGAAGAGGGCAAGGAGGAAGATCCTCAGTAAAACAATGGTGCAATAGCCATTTAAGTATAAAGTTCATTAAGAGACTAACTTGTAAAACCCATCAATATTATGTCCATAGAAATTCCTAAAGAGCAGCCTAAGAGCTCAGGTAGAAAAAATAATAGTATCAAAATGGAAACTGGAAGAAATAACAAAAGTAGAGGTAGTTCTCATCCAGTAGGATCAGTTAAGAGTGTTGATGAAAATGATAATAAAGCGAAAAGCAAAGTAAGCAGTCAGACTATGAGCAATCAAAAATCTTCTAGCAAGCATCAATCTAATGATCAGATAGATGAGGAAGATGAGAACCAATAAGAAGAGATGGCATCACTCGATTAATCAGAGATATTGACTCCAAAGCTAGACGTATCTGGTATAAAGCTTGAGTCAGCCTAAAAGGAGAAGAACTCTTTCCTTGAAGAACTAAAGAAGCAGTCCTTTATCTTCTCGGAGACTTCTACTCAGAAGATGGATGCCAAGGATAGTGTGATGGTGGGCTCTCAATAAAAACAGGAACAAAAATCCTTCCAAATAAATTAACAGATGAATTCCAATTCAAATCTGAATAACAATTCAGCTGATAAAAAGTCAAAGTCAAGCTCAATTTAGTTTTTGCTAGATCCTGATTCGCTAGTCAAGAAGAATAACGAGAATAATCTAAGATTAGTGCCTATTGGAGATGATCTAGAACCCTAAGAGTCAGTTGAAAGAGAGGAAACTGAGGAGCAGCAATAAAGGCAGAGCAATGCTGATGATAAGAGAAGTCAGAGTAATGATGAGAGTGATAAAGATGAAGAGCAGGATGAAGAAAATGATGATGAAGAAGAGGAGGTGGAGCAAACAAAGAGTAATAAAACTAAACAGTCTAGAAATAAGTAGAGTTCAGCTTATGATAGCGAGGAAAATGAAGATGATTATGAAGAGGATTAAGGAAGTAATGATGGAAACTAATCTATTCATCAAAGTAAATCATCAGGCAAAAACCAAGATGACAAGTAGCCTCTTATAAACAAGCAATCTATGGGCAATAACAATATTTAGGTAATACAAATGGACCAGAATATGGTTCCAAACATGAATGATTTCAGAAGGGGCTTTGGAGAGGAAAATAAAGAAGATTACCTCTTACAAGATCCTAAATACTTATCACTATCAGTGCCAGGTAGGTCGAGAGCTCCCTCTGGAAATGATCCAGGTTCAGGCAGAACCTATAGGAAAATGGGTATATAAAAGCGAGACACTCAAAAGATTAAGACTAATCCAAGGTACAAATGTGTGGATGAAGGCTCTGAGGATGAAAATGATGCATCTAAAAATAACATTAATGATGATCCCTAACAAATGAGCTCTAAAGAACTTCAGTTCAGAGATAATCTCCTAAAGTATGAGAGTAAGATAAATTATAATAATTAATTTTAATCTATAGAGAGGAAGAAAAGAAAAGAGAGAAAGTAAAAAGAGAAGGAGTTGAAAAAAATGAAGGCAATAAATGGAGAGGATGGAAGCTCAGGAGTTATGACTGCAGGATCAGATGGGCCCATTAATGCCAGTTAATCATCTGATGACGATGATATCAGCAGTTCCTCAAGTTCATCAAGTAGCAGTGAGGAAACCAAAGATTTAGATAAAACTCAAAACAAGCAGAGGCAGCACTAAAATAAGAATATCACTAAGAAGACTGCGCCTAGATCAAATAATGATGAGGGAGATGTTAGTTCAGTTACGACAAGATAAAATAAGACTGAAAGATCTCACTATAATCTTAGAATGGCAATAGATGAGAAATTCATTCCTAATTCCATTAAGAACTTGAGATATGCAGCATACCTCATCTTTATCATACTTTCTTTGCTCTCTAGTAAGATTACTAATATGTAATTGACATTTTAGTTGTATACTATGTTATGTAGATTCAACTATTTGACAAGATAAACCAAAACATCTAGAACATTCATAACTCAGAGTTGAGACTGAACTATATCATAGATATTACGCTCAGAACTAGAACTATGATATTAATTAACAAAAATTACTATCCTAATCTTACAGCTCAGTAAAAGCAAGACCTTATCAATACCACTATAAGTGAGTTGCGAAGCTCAGCTACTAATCTCAAGAATGCATAAACAGATTTATCTCTTAAAACTAGTTCACTTGAGAGCAGTTAGCTCTAAAAGATCAATCCTGACAATGTGGAGCTCAAGTATATGAAATACCCAAATATGCCTGAATCGTATCTATTTTCTATTTGGGAAGCTATCATGGAAATAGTGGTTAGTGCCTATCGTCTATCAACTTTACCTCTAAGCTAGATTTCAGATGATAATCCTACATCTTTTTTCATCTTAAAAAATTGTCTAAACAGTGTGCTTTAAGCTCTAAATTCCTCAACAAATGCAATCATAGACGAATCTAATGAGGCTAGAGAATAAAACATGAAAGTATTCTTGTATCTGCTTATTGCAGCGTCTTGTGCGTTGTTTCTTTCTCTCCTTTTCCTCATCCCAGTAATCAATAAAATCAAGAAGAGCAAGCAAGCTGTATTGAAGCTTTTTACTCATAAAAATGTTGAAAAGCACATAGATGAATAACTTAAGATCTGCAGAAACTTTGTAGCAACCAGACTTTAGTAAAATAACGAGGGAGGTGACCATGACATAGATGGTGATGATGTAGGCTAAATGAATGTGAATGACAAAGAACTACAAAATGAGATCAACAACAACAAGTACATGAAGAAAATCAGAAAGAAGAACAAGGGCAAGAAGCTAAAGGAACTTAACACAGATTTTGGAGCTACTCTATTGAAATTCTTACTATTTCTTAGCATCATTGAAGGGTATTTCTTGGCAAATTATCTTTTGAGCTATAAGTTCCTATAGGAGGTCTAAGACTTAACATAAGAGTTAAAACTTCTGATCTCCAGATAGCCTGTCCAGAGCTTCCTGCTTCTGATATAAAAGTAACTAAACTTTTGTTTTTTATTGATTTTAGAGAGCTTATTTATACTAATGGAACCGCTGAAATTGAAAAAGAAGCCTCCTTATCTTATGTGCCGAGGTATCAAGAGAATCTTTACGATGAAGAAGAATAACTTTTAGATAAGTTCTCAGCAAATTACGACTATCACTCAACTTCATACAATGAAGACTTTAACAATATAATCTACTCAAATGTGTGTCAGTTTGTGAAGTTTAGGAATCAAACTGCTTGCGAGTCGTTTAATCAGGGGATATTGAAGAAAGGTGTATATTCGAGTGTCATTAAATATTGGGATTTTCTGAGATAAATTAATCATGACTTTATGGAAAGTGATCGATCTAATAAAACTATTGTTCAGTTCCTCAATGATCAGCGGCTCAGTGTGGCTGAGGAAATGCAAGACTACTACTTCAAAATGGCTCTTTAAGAGTTGGTTCAGACACTCGAAGATGACATAGACAATTTGTAAGATCAACAGTTTATTCTTAATCATTATAGCTTTAATATGGAATACATTCAGAACAGAACGATCTTCATTATTTACATCATTTACATTGCCATACTGTACTTCCTAATTTGGAGAAAGTACATGACATACATGCAAAATGAGCTTTGGAAAACCAAGTCTATGCTAAGGTATGATTTTTTGTGGCTTAATCCTTATTAGTGTCCTACCTACTAAGTTGTGCTTCGAAACTGATGAAATTAGAAGCTTTATCAATAAAAACTCAAGCAATGATATTCTATCGACAATGCTATGATTATTTCAAAATATATAAAGTATACTATCATAACTGATTATTCAATCATAATTCACTACAAGGGGTTTTGGGGTTTTGGGGTTTTGGGGTTTTGGGG